AACCAAAAAACCACACACAAAAACAAAAAACCAAAAACCCCCCATATATTTGCATATTTGCTCTGTTTAGCTTGACTCAAGAAGTGTAAAGCACTATTGAGTCTGTAGTTGCTTAAGATCTGCTGCTGTGGGATCCAGACTGGCCCATAGGACAGATGGAATAGATGACCTTTAGCTATGAGAGTAACTTGTCAAATAAGGAGAAACAGCACTCTGATGATAGCTATCTCTGCCTATATTAACTTTGTGAAGGAAAATTTCATAGATTTGCAGATTTTCTCTGGAGAACAGATTGAAAGRGGTGCTCTTGAGCCTCCTTTCATGTGCAGAGAATCTTCCACAAAACTCCAGAGTGTTTGTGTATCTCTGTGTATGTTTGCATTTTCTTCTGATCAAATCAGTTGTTGCTAATAACCAAGCAGAATGAGATAACGTTTTCCCCATTTCATTTTTTGAAAATTATTGCTAGCTATTTTTTTCTCAAAAAATAAAATTAATCACTGAGAGATTCATAGTGGCATGTTCCATTGGCGAAGTGATGGAGCAGCTGAGTATCTGCCCAACTCCACACTATCCTCTTGTAACGCAGAGACAGTTCTTTTACTTTTCATGCCTGAGTTTCTCTATTTGTTGAGAAGAGAATTCTTTGCACCCTGTGAGGGATGTGCCAGTATTTTATTAAGGGCCGCTTTTATCACCTTTGATATTCCCACATGAAAAGTACCACAGTGTGAAAATTTCCAGACTTCATAAAAAATTGTCACTTTTTCTTCTGAGAAAGGTATCACTTGTTTGATTCTGCTATATCTTCATAAACATGAATGAGAATTAGGGGAATTTCTCATTTTGGGTCTTTAGGGCCTCCTAGACTTAGAAGCTAAGTGAATATGAGGAGGCTATATTTAGAAGACACTGAATATACTTATCATTTTTTAAAGCTTGCTCTTTCCTTTCCAGTTTTCATTTTATCATGCTGGCAGACGATATTTTCCCTCAGAGCCTGTCAACACTGTATGCCTGATTGGCATTGGTGACTTTTAGCACTCACTGGGGTTTGTTCTGCCATCACCTAGCCTAGAATTGCACTGTTCAACTCTTACTGTCTGGCATCTAAATGATGTGGTTAAAGATTGGACAGATGATCTACACATGTTTGGATAAAGATGTATTGTTGACAGCTTAATGCAGGGACAAAATCTGTAAACAAACCCCGGTGTGAACTGAAGGCTGATTCTGTGTGGCAGCAGGGGCTGAAGCAATGTGTGTGCCACGTTTTGCCAGCTTTTCAGCTGGAAACTTTTGTGAGGTTGAATCTTCCCCAAAGTGACTACAGGCTGCATCGCTGGAAACCTATCAGCACTTTCTTATGTCTGACCCAACAGAGGGGTAGTTTAGACTGTTGGAATCAAGACTGAGCTTCACCTCTCCTCTCTTCAGATTTATAAAGCTGTGAGATAATGTCCTTGAAACAGGATTTTCATTCTACCAAAACASCACCATTACCTTGCTGTTGAAGAACAGAATTTGAGGAGGCACCTTCTTACCAGAGACATTCATTTCCAGTTGTTTACTCTGAGTCACATTAACTCTGTACAGAGACTGTTCATAGCCCAAATGTCGCAAACAAGAACCAAATCTTTATTCAACCTTGCCAAAATCTCCTTACCAGTGTGAAATAATCATCAGTATCACCTCTGAAGACCTGATTATGCTTGGTGCTAATTAGCTATCTATCAGTATCCTCTGAGCATCTAAGCCATGATACATATGTGTAAACAAAGACTGTTTTGAGGGGTGAGTTAATTGTGCCTTTCTTATATGTCATTTAATACTATTACTAAGAGCTGTCTCTTTCTTCTCTTCTTTGATCTCTTCCATTGAATTACTTATTATCATTGGTGTCTTTTTTAAGGTCTTTCCTATGTTGTTTTTTCTTTTCTTTTTTTTTCAGTTGTGAAGCTTTCCCATACCCCATCAGCCATGGTAAATCAAAAGATGGTATTCGACCCTTCAAAGGCCTGAAGCCTGCGGCCCGCACGGCAAACAGCCCTGAGAACAGAGCATAGGAGCAGCCTGCAGGGGCTGGCATATCCCTCTCACCCCCAGCACTCTGTCCCAGCCAAACAGGGGGGACACACACGCAGCAGGCGTGGCAGGGCATGGGCACCTCACTCTACATGGTGGGAGGGAAAGGAAGAGCAGCAATGAATAATTCTCTAAGGAAAGGGGCAGTTGCTTCAGATTTTTCCAGGGTGGGTGTCTGAGGCACTGCAAATCTGCATGTTGACAGCACTACTCTCACTAGTTTGAGGTTTTGTTTGTAGAGAATAGATCCAAATGTGATACATATCTCACTTCTGTTGAGAAGGACTTTAAAGAAGTGGGTCTGGAGTAGAAGGAGAGAGAAAGAAAAATTAAGCAAATCATAGCTTGGAACATGTTTGGGAATAATTTTTGATGCTTAAGGTGATGTGCAGAAAGGGAAAGAAATGGCTGGTCTGATAGGGAGATCCACCTTCACATTTTATCCCCTGTTGATAAGTGGCACGGTTATAATGTTTTACTGATTTATATTAAAGAATATTTCAGGTTTTTTTCTTCCTGGCCTRGCATATCTTCAGGTCACTGGTGACTAGGATAAATAATTCCTGCCTCCTCTCATTTGAGGAAATGTAATCATCCCTCTCATCTATCTTTTTCAAAGATAAATCCTGAAGGGTGTCAGAGACACCTTTGCCCATCCAAGGTGAGAAGTTTCTTTTGTCATTTCTCCATACAAATAGTGCAAGTAGGAGAGCTGCAAGAGGCCTCAATATAACATAGGATAAGTGTGTACAGGACTTTATCTGATTTTCCCATAGGAAATAATCCAGAGTGAGCTTAGAAACAGTTGGGCCCCGATTATCTTTTTTGTCCTATTGTTGCCTTAAAGTACTCTTCCATAGCCACATGTGGCTGTTCATCCAAAGGAAGAGCCATTTTGTCCTCACACAACAGAGGTAACCTTTTTCTTCTTGATTCAAGGATAAAACAGCCTGGAGCCTTAGCAGCATCAACTGTATGTCACTATTTTCAGACAAAAAGATATAAATGGTAAGAAACACAAGCCTCAATTGCAGATCCATGTTTGCTGCTAAAGATACCACCATTTAAACAATGAATCCCTTGTGTCAGCTAATTGTAGTCCWATTGTAACCTTTTGGAAGGAGAGGGTCTTTGGCCCATTTTCCAGGTGATATGCTCTGGAAAACCTTCCATCTGAGCACTAAGGAAGGAGCTTCTGCTTAATATTAGACAAATAATGAAAAGAAAGTAACAGCAGACGGTCTTCTCAGCTCCCTTCCTGCTCCCCATGCAGCAACAGAACCTGTTTTCACTTTCTGCTCTATACCACATTCCTCATCCAGTTGCTGAACTGGCATGGAACTGGATTTACAGCTGTTCAGGTGTACTCATCTCCTATCTCAGAARTAAATACTGATAACAGGGCTGAGTGCCTCAGATGATGGTTACCAGAAGTCTTATTGCCCTGGTGCTGTGCAGGAGGAATCTTATGGAATTTTAAAAATAATTCCTGATTTAACCAGATGCTGCTGTTTTGAGCACAAAGACCGGACTAAACCTGTGCCCTCACTGCCAGTAAAAATCTCATCTGCTCTGGATTTATATCGATGTACTAGTTTAGAGGAAAATAGGTGTTTTCATCCTTTTTAAAAACTGATTTAAGA